TGTCAACTCAGGTGAGAGTGACTGCGGCAGAGAAAGCATCCTCCCTTCTCCTGTTTTAACCAGGTCACCAGCAAAACCGCTGTAGCCTTTCCGGTCCAAACACGGCGGAGGACGGATGGCAGAGCTTTGTGTGCTTCGTGGTTAAGGTTAAATAGCTTTTGAGTTCTGAGCAGAAAACATTTCCCTTGAAAGTCCTTCCTATTTCTGGATTTTTAATTTTACAGCATAAGAGAACCACTGAACAAAAACTGGAATGTGACATGGGGGATAAGGTCTCCCTGCATAGCTCAGGCTTGCCTCGAACTCCTGGTCCTCCTGCCACACCCTCCTCAGTGCTGCAGTGGCATTTCTGGATCTTTGGTTCTGTGAATTTGTCACTGAATTCCCACTCTGTACAAACACGTGCCTTTGTCCCCTTCATTTCCTCTCTACCCATGCCCTCCCCACATCCTTGGTGTGGCTCTGTCAAGAGTTTGATTGCTAGCTCTGATCTCAGACCAGCATTTCTTCTGAGGGTCCCACTGAACCCTTCCCACAGGATGCCAGGAGGCAGCAGCCCAGGATAAACCCTGGTTCCCTCCTGTGGAACTCGCATGTGCCAGCACCCTTCAGGAGGACAGGATATGGGAAGGCACTGTCCTTGCCATGCACATGGTACAGAGAGAGAGATGGTGGAATACAGGCTGGGAAACTGTTGGGGTCATCTCCATGACCAGGATGCCCCAAAGTCAGGACCGCCCCAGGGGTTAGATGATCACGTTTTTTGGAGAGGAAGAAAGGACGGAAGTGTAGAGTTTGACATGTCCTGGAGCTTGTCAGTGCCTCCCTGAGTAGGCCTCTCTTTCCTTCCCAAAGATTGACAGGCACCATCCCCTGTGAGCTGCTGGCACAGAAGATTCAGGGCCTACTGAGAGGCCAGGCCTTCCCTGACTATGTGGCTGCATTTGGGAATTCCCGGGCCCAGGATGTGCAGGACTGGGTGCCTGTGCGTTATGTCACCCACTCCTCCAACATGAAGGTAAAGAGCGAGAGGCTGCTGGCCACCTGCTAGTGTGGGTCACAGGTGGGGAGGGAGGCACAGGGGAGGCAGTGGGGTGGCTGCACTAAGCTAGGCTTTCCAGCTCTGCCCCTCTTCACAATGCCCTTGTCAGTCAGTAGTTTTCAGCCTCTGCTTGCTTCCCTGTAACACGAAAACTGAAAGGAGCAGAGTCGGCACAGGACACCCCAAGACCAGGTACAGAGGGTCAAAGGGCAGGGAATGACACAAAAACAGGAGCTAGAGGGAGAAGGGAAAAGGAACAAGGGAGGGGGAAAGGAATATTTGCTTTGGAGAGATAAAGGCCTACTTCTTGAGAGAGAGGAGACAGACATTGTCCATGGGCAAACAGCAGTTTATAAAGGGAATAAAGGAAACCCTGTTGTTAGGATGAGTTGGTTTGTTTTAATTGGGCATGTTAACTAGGGCAGTCAGAAGGGGCTTCTGATTGCTGGACTTCAATATGTTGATAGCTGGACCTTGGTAGTCAGTTTCAGAAGAGGAAGTGGCCAAGTAAGGGAATAGCCCTTGGTGGCTAGCTTTATGAATGTGATCTAACAGTTCAACAAGGCAGAGGGAATGGGGGAGGGCAAGGCCTGCCAGAGCCATGTTTGCCATGCTAGGGCTACTAAAGCCCTTCAGAAACAACATCACTGACCTCACAGGGCTGTTCAGAGGGTTAAGTTTGTTTGGCTGTTGTCAGGACACAGTGGTTACTCCATAAACTGGAAGCATGAGTGACCACCACAGTCACTGCGGTTGAGAAATCCCCTCACCAAAAAATGTGACATCCAAACCTGAAACTTTCTTAGTGCCAACATGTCACCACCAGTGCCTGATGATTACGGTCAAAACTTGGGCCCAGTGAGATGCCATTAACTCTAGACTGGCTGAGTGAGGTGGACATGAACAATGGATTCTGTCTAGCCTCATGAATTTCTCAGTCATCATGGCTATGCAAATATTCCAAAATCCAGGATGGTCAACTTGGACAACAGTGATGCAGTAAGTCTTCCTAAGGTATCTGGTGACATGGGGGACATGGGATGTGACCTCCTGCCTCTGCCACTTCCATTCCATGCCCTCTGGGCTGGCATGGCAGCCCACCCACACATGAGCTCTTTCAGTTCCAAAGTTCCCCAAAGTTTAATGGGAGCTGACATCCTACAAATAGCTTCCTGGTCACATATGACTCCTCCGCCCACCTCCTCCTTTTGTCTTAGTGGCAAAGTGTGGGCTGTCCCCAGTGGAGGTGTGCACTCCATTCTCCCCTAATTGCTCAGCTGTTTCTTGTCACAGCTGCTTCAGGCCTCTCATTATCTGCTTTGTATATTTATAAGGAGTGGCACAGTGGGGAGAAGAACTTCACCAGATCCCACTCCGAGGACCGCCTCACCCCTGTGCCAGCCACCAGTGAACATGGGGTATGGCTCTCAGCTTTCTGGCACTGGGTAAAGACAGCAGTCATTAGTGCTGGAGAGCAGGCCCAGGGCATCTGCTGTTCACACCCAGTGTACCTGCAGCTTCTCCTAGCAACGGGAGATTGGCAAGCTGGTCCAGTGCTAAGGTTTCTAAAGGCTTTTGTAAGCTAAGGAATCCCATTACTGCTTTTGGCAGTTTAACTCCAGTTTAGCGGTTTGCTAGCTTTCTATGCCAGGACAGAATTTAGAGAAAATATATGTGGAAAGTCAAACATATGTGGCAGCACCATAGCAGAGTGGGCTCCCCATCTCCCCACTGTGCAGCTTCTGTAGTTCTACAGTTAGCAAAAGGATGGTCTGGAGGGCCCGATGCCCATTTATCTCAGGACTGTCCAAGCAAAGGTCCTAGGACAGAGCCAGGTTCCAGCCTTAGCTCAAATAACCCCATGCTGGCCCCCTCGATGCAGATGAAGTGGTTCCCTTTGTTTTGTTTGTTTGAGACAGGATCTCTCTATACAGTCCTGGTTGTCCTGGAACTCACTGGAACTGTGTAGGCCAGGCTGGCCTTGAATTCAACCACCACACCTACCCTGTACTATTACCTTTGATAATGTACAGTCACTGACTCTGCCCCGTGCTGTTTTGTCTTGTTTTTGTGGATGGGGGCGGGTGGTGCCGGGGAAGATTCAAGATAGGGTATCTCTGTGTAAAATCCCTGGCTGTCCTAGAATTCAACTCTGTAGACCAGGCTGGCGTCGAATTCACAGAGATCTGTCTGCCTCTGCTTCCTGAGGGCTGGGAGTAAAGATGTGCACCACCATGCCCAGTGACTTTTTTTAAGATTAAAAACAATTCTGTGGGCTGGGCGATGGTGGCGCACGCCTTTAATCCCAGCACTCGGGAGGCAGAGGCAGGCGGATCTCTGTGAGTTCGAGACCAGCCTGGTCTACAGAGCTAGTTCCAGGACAGGCTCCAAAGCCACAGAGAAACCCTGTCTCGAAAAACCAAAAAAATAAAAATTAAAAAAAAAAAACAATTCTGTGTATGAGTGTTTGTATGTATGTGCACCATATGGGTGCCTAGAGTCTGCAGAGGCTAGAAGAGGGTGTTGGGTCCTCTAGAACTGGAGTTACAGGTGGTTGTGAGCTGCTGGAGACTGAACCCAGAGCAGCTGGTGCTCTCAACCGCAGAGCCTTCTCTCCAGCCCCAAGTTGTACCTTCACTGCTAGTTGGTGAAGTTAGATAAAAGCATGCAACATGAGCTACAATCAAATTCACCTTCTCTCTGTTACATTCAGTCATAGTCTCTTCCCTGCTGTCCCTCTGGCCAGCTTCCAGACGCTCCTCTGAGGTACCCCCACTCCACAGTGACTAGGCCTTCTTTGGGAACAGGAGGGGCTGGCCCTGCTTCTCTCTGGTGGTAGAGTGGAGGGAGCGGAGAGTGCTGGGATGGCTCAGGGCTCTGCAAAGCTGTGTGCCTGAGCTCGCGTAGTGCGCTCACCCTTGTGTTCCAAAGACTCTGTGATACTCAAAGTGCTCAACTGCAGGTTGAGTTTGATCTGAGGCTGTGTGATCTTCTGTTATAATCTAGTTTTCTCTTTCAGGGCCCTTGCCAGCTCCCTGTGGCTTTGGGTATAGAAGTGAAATGGACTAAATATGGCTCTCTGCTGAACCCCCAAGCCAGGATAGTGAACGTCACTGCCCAGCTCATCTCCATTCCAGAGGTAGGCCTTCTGCAATGGGCTCCATGGGCTGGGGCATGGCCCAATAGTAGGCCTGGGATTAGCCTGGGCCAACCCCCGGGCCTTGCACCAAAAGAAATAAACCACAACAAAATAAAAGGAGCAGGTGAAGACAGAAGGCAAGGTGACAGACAGCAAGTGTGACAGGAAAAGTTTATTACGTGGTAGGAGAGATTATAATATCTTTTTGGATTTCAATTTTTTTTTTTTAAAGACAGGGTCACGTCATAGCTCCCATGTTCAGGGACAGGAAGCTAGCTAGTGCTGCTGTGCCTGGTGGGATTTGGTATTTTGACATAGAATCTGTCTCAAACCCAGGCTGGTCTCAAACTTGTGACTCTCTGCGTCAGCCTCCTGAGCGTTAACCAGCAAGTGCCAGCATGCCTGACTGTAATTTTGACTCCTAGGACAATTTCAAAATCATTCTTTAACTTGTACTTAGAAGGGAAATCTCACTGATGGATTTTTTGTGTGGTCACAATTCTTGTGAACACTGAGCCATGGTTGCGATTGCTGGATCAGCCTGGAGCGCCGTGCACTCTGGCTGCGCTGTGTCCGGCTGACCCCGCATACCTGCCGGCCTCAAGCTGACAGTGCCAGTGGCTGAGTGAGGAAGATGATGAACGAGCCTGTTCTGTCTTTCCATTCCAGCCCCTCCCAGGGCCTGAGAGGACAATTGTCATTTCCACTACGGTAACATTTGTGGACGTGTCAGCCCCTGCAGAGGCAGGCTTCCGAGCCCCGCCAACCATCAACGCCAGGCTGCCCTTCAGCTTCTTCTTCCCCTTTGTGTGATGCAAGTGAACCCGTAGGAGTGAGTACCCACCCTGACGGTCTTCCTCTGCAGCAGTGGGCACCCAAGCCCAAGGCTCTGGTGGACACCAACCCAGTTGCTCATTACCCTTAAACCAGCACTCTGCCCTCTCCACCTCCTTTTCCTCCCAGGAACCTTAAACTCTGCTGGGCGAGGGGGTCAGGTCAGGGTTCCAGCACCCTGCACACACAGATCACAGGCCTCCACAGTGTATTATCCCCTATCTGTCAGGATCTGTTTTCAAAATGCCCATCAGCATTCTGAGAAGTACAAACGAGCAAGAGGCTGTGTAAAAATGTGTGCCCACAGGGCAATGTACCCCAATATGATGCTAATTACAGGGCAGACTGGCACCCCCCCCCCCCGCAGTGAGCTAGCTCTATAACTGGTGGGCTGGTGTGGGCTGCCACCAAGGAGAGAATGTGGTAGGCGGGCCCAGGGGAAGAAGAGCGCTTATTTTATACATTAATTGCACAGTAATTGAGAGAGATGTGGTGGGTGCAGAGCCAGTTTGAAGCTGATGGTACAGCTGGGTGCTGCCCAGGAGGGGCTGGGCACCAGGATGGCTCCCCCAGGGGTGCAGCAGGAGATAAGAAAGGTTTTCTAGAATGGGCTGGTGCAAGGTGCCAGCTTCTGTCCTCAGGATGTGCTGGTCCCCTACACACAGAGGAGCGATGGCGTTAAGTTTTTCAAGCCCAGCTTCCTGTCCATTTTCAAGCAACAGCAGAGTTCGGCTGAGAACAGGTGGTTATGATTCCTTTGCTGCAGGAGGAGGGCGTGGACAGGTGGCTCTGGGTCACACCAAAGAGGCAGCAGAGCTGACAAAGATGTGTCCCCAGCATCCAGGGAGCGCAAGCCAAGGCAAAGATGAGAACTGGACTTGGCAGCACACAGTTGCTCTCTGGCCACCACCCAGCTTCTCTAGGGTAGAGCTTCTGGAAGGCTAGTTCCCATCCCCAAGAAGTCCATTCTGTCTCAACAGCTTGTTGAGTCTCTCAATTTCTTGTTCCTGTGGTGAAAGCAGACAGACACTGGGCAATGAGCTCTGAGCCACATTCCTGCAGGCCTGGGGCTACAGACAGCTAAGAGCCACAGTCTGTGGCATTCCGGCTGCTGAGGGGAGCAGTTCCCAGGAAGGGCCCTAAGCAGTGATGACAGGAACAAGATGCCCAGAGGAGGGACTGGGCCCGGCTCCATGCTTAAGCCAGAAAGACCAGGAAGAGGGAGCAACAGGCAGAGCTATAGGCTATAGGAGCATGGGCAGTAATGGGCTGGAGGGGACAGCCGTGGAACCGGTCCCCTAAGTCTCACCTTCTCAGAGCAGCTGAATTCCAGGTGCTGGATCTTGGTGGCCAGCTGAATGTTTATCTGCTTTAACCTTAAGATCTGCCGTTCTGAGCGTGTCTTCACTGAGATGATGATGCCTGCAAAGGAGGGGAGGGTTGTGGTGCAACAGCTTGCTTCAATATTATGCTGTGTGTGGGGGGGGGGAGATCATGTGGATGTCAGAGGACAACTTGTGGGAGTCAGTTCTCTTCTTTCATCCTGTGGGCCCTAGGGCTTAAACTCAGGTCGTCAAGCTTAGCGGCAAGTGTCTTTACCCGCTGAGTCCTCTTGTCAGCCCCAAGACTTGTATTCTAATTCATGTACATACTTGGGATGTGTAGAGACAGATGAACAAGACAACTGTCACTGGCAGCCTCAGTGAGGCGGGCAAGATCGTCATTTCTGAGCCTGAGAGGAGGCAGCTGGGCAGTATTTCCCTGTGGTCCCCATGGGCACAGTCTCTGCAGGCCCCTGTGCTCCTCGCTCCCCAAGGACAAGCATCCCCAGGAGTAACTGAAAGCTGTTTGTCCTCCCTGGCAGAGTTCAGAGTATGGAGACGAAAAGACAAAGTAAAGCAGGGGCCCTGTGTTGGAGCATGGCCCGGACTGCTAACTTGCGATACCTTACACAGCCCCAGTGACTCAAGGCCAGTCTCAAGAAACACCAGTGCTGCCCTCAGATACAAACCCAGAAAAGGGCCATGAATGCCACAAGGTCACCTGCCCAGCTGCCAAGTGAGGCTTCCAGCTCCGCTCAGCCAAGTGAGCCCCTCTGGAGCCCACTCACCATGGCTGCACTATGGTGTACTTAATAAACCTTTTGTTGTTGTTGTTGTTTTTGTTTTTCGAGACAGGGTTTCTCTGTAGCTTTGGAGCCTGTCCTGGAACTCCCTTTGTAGACCAGGCTGGCCTCGAACGAACTCACAGAGATCCGCCTGCCTCTGCCTCCCGAGTGCTGGGATTAAAGGCGTGCGCGCGTGCGCCACCACCGCCCGGCCTTAATAAACCTTTTACCTCTGTCTTTTTGATAAATCCATTTAAACCCCATATGTCACCGGCTTGTCACCTTTGTCTCCGCATGACACAAAGGAACGTTGTTTGCTTTTTTCTTTTCTCCCCAGACCTAAGCTGCCTGAGCTGTGATCGTTTCAATCTCAAGTCGCAGCAGCCCACTCAACCTGCAGCTCTGCAGAACCCAAAGGGCTGTGGGACAGGAGGTGCCGGCCAGGGCTCCTGAGGTCATAGCCCCATCAGAGGACACGGCCACACTGTCACTCCCTCACCTCAGGCTTCCCAAGCTAGCCGACTACCTAGATCCCCTGACTACACCCCCATCCCACCCCACTGCCCTCTGCAGGAGAACTGCTGGGAAAGTGGACACTGTCTTTCCTGGGAAGACTGAACAGTTTCAGCACCCACCAGCCAGGGCCCACAGAAGCGCTGCTCCTCGGATATGCGCACCAGGGGCAGCATTTGTGCCTGGAGGTGGGCAGAGCAGGGTTTCCTCGTGTTCTCTCTAGAAGCCAGGGGATGGTAGCACATGGCAGCAACGGAGTGGTAACTCAGGGAGACGGGGAGCTCCATGAGGGGACTCTGGGGTTGGGCAGCCGGCACGGAGCGCTGCTCATCCACCTGCCTCCCTTCTGATGCCCTCCTGTGCTGCCCGGGGCAAGGGTCCCATGCTTCCATGACTACCTTCTGGTAACCATGAAAACATGACCAGAGTGTGAGATAACTTTGGCGCAATCATGCTCTGCAGCTCGCGCTAAATATTACCATCTACTTTTCTCCAGATTCCAAAGGGCGCAACCATGATACAAACCAGGTATGAGATCACGGGCATCTGGTGACTGTATTGCCACCTTGGTAGCAACCACAGAGCCCAGACCCCCACCCCCATGCAGTCTAGGAGCACAGGAGACACACCATTGATGATCCGGGCCACCCGCCAGAGCCGCAGCAGGATCAGCAGGCCAAGAGCTTCAAACTGGTGCTTCTTAAACAGGAGGACGAGGTCGAGGACGAAGGACACCACCACCACAATGGTATCCAGGATCTCAAACTTATGGTGGAAGAACTCCAAGCGGAAGACAAAGATTTTAAAGAAAATCTCCAGCATGAAGAAGACCAGGATGGCAAAGCTCATGTAGTGGAACGCCTGAGGGGACAGAATGACAGGAGCACTGACTGTCTCATGGTCGTCTCTGGCCACACCGTCTACCCAAGCATGCCTGCCTGGTCACCAGGGATGACTCAGTGCTGGAGACAAGGTTTCCACCCTTGGAAGATGATTATGCATCCCTGGCCAGGCCTGACTGTCAACCCAGGACTTGGGAAGGTGAGGCAGGAAGATCAAGAGTCCAAGGCCTGCCTGGACCAGAGTGAAACTGTCTTAACTAAAAAGTAAAGATGGGCTGCGGCTTCCCAGGGTTGAAGAAAACCACCTCAGCTCTCCAGTGTCCTTTGGCCCAGCCACCCAACTGAGAGGAACATGTTCTATGGCTGAGCAGGCACTTGCTCAGAACCACATCGGTCGGTCACGGCAGTACAATGAGCAAAACCCAAGTCTGTGTGGAGGGGACAATGTCATCGTCCAATAAAAGGCACACACAGAGTCAGGAGGATCTCTGTGAGTTCGAGGATAGCCAGGGCTACGCAGAGAAACCCTGTATATCTATGGATGGATGGATGGATGGATGGATGGATGGATGGATGGATGGGTGGGTGGGTGGATGGATGGATGGATGGATGGATGGATGGATGCACCTGCTAGACAGATGCTGGACTTCCTGTACCTGTTACTCCACCGCTGATGACGGGCAGGGTCATACACTCCCTGGGAGCCATAAAGACTAGTAGTACCTGAAGAGTTCCCAGGTTCTTGCTAAGGCAGCCAGGAGGCAAAGGGATATTCCAACTCCTGCAGTCATACTGAGGCTCACAGTGACCACAGTGGGGACCACAGTAAGGCCTGTACCCGAGGGAAACGAAAGAGCCGGAGAAGGATGGGAGTGTCACATGCACTGAGCAGCCAGTGGCTCAGTCGACACCCTCCCCGCCTGCAGATAACGACCCCATCAGCAGCACCCTATATATGCCCTGGCTGCTGTAGACCTGAGCTGTGTACATGCGTGACCTGGGGGGCTGGTGTATACCTGCTGTACCACCTATGTACCCGCACCACGTGTGCTTCTGCCGTGTGCATACCTTGACCGCGTAGTCTTTCTTATCTGGCTCAATGATCTTGAGATCCAGAAGGAGCTCAGCAAGTACCAGGAGGGCGTCCAGGATCACCAGGCAGATGATGACAACCTGGTGGGAGGAGGAAGAGGACATGAGACCAGGATGGGACCACTCTCATTCTCAGGAACCACCAGGAAACACATTAAGAACGGGATCCTGGCCCCTTTCCCCATCCTCCCACTCTCCTGAGTAGGCACGTTACCCTCTGGGAGTAGCTTGCTTTGCCTACTGGGTGAGAACACTACCACTCCACTCCCTGAGGACAGGTAGCCTTTGGGGGGCCCCTCTGGAACTCAGAGTCCCAAGGCAGTGATGTGTTAAATCACTTACTGAGCATGTTCTGTGTGTGCCCCAGCAACAGCAAACCACAGAAATAGAAAAATGAAACTTAAAAACAAAACCCTATTTGCCTTTTAGGAGTGGCATTTGCTTTGAGAGATAGTACAGGAGAAACAGACTGGGTACCCAGGGGCAGGGAGTAGGAGAGACTGTGGGCTCCTCAGGGAGATGAGTTCCCAAGCTCCCCACAAGGTACTCAGGGGTCTTATTCTTTTGGTTTGTTTGTTTGTTTTCAAGACAGGGTTTCTCTGTATTGTCCTGGCTGTCCTGGAACTAGCTCTGTAGATCAGGTTACCTATGCCAAGTGCTGGGATTAAAGGCGTGCACCACCACCGCCCAAGTGGCATGGGCTCACTAGACTAACCAGCTGGCAACCCCACGGCTCCTGTCTCTCTTCAGCACTAGTACACCAGGATCTTCTGTCTTCTGTTAAAGCCTGGGTTCTGGTCCAGAACTTGGGTTCTCTGACTCGGACAGCAAGCACATTACTGACAGAACCGTCTTCCCAGCCTGGAATTTTTTATTTCTTGTTTATTTTAGAACCACGGGGATTAGCAAAGTCACATGGTCTAAAACCAAAGCCCAACTGTATTGAGAACAGACTTAGAAAGAACACAGCTACCAAAGGGCATGAAGCATGGGCCTGTGCTACTGTGGGGATGAGCTGTGAACGTGCTACACTGAGTGCAGGCAACCCGACCCTCAGGCCACGTGTGATGTGACCCCCCAGAACACAGATGCAATGCAGACTGCGGTTCTGGTCGGGCAGGATGGACAGGGAACTGGCTAGTGGTGAGCTGTACAGTGCTCTGTGCACCACACACCACAGAAATACTTTAAAATGATTCATTTTAGCCGGGTGGTGGTGGCACACACCTTTAATCCCAGCATTTGGAAGGCAGAGGCAAGCGGGTCTCTATGAGCTCGAGGCCAGCCTGCTTGACAGCTAGTTTCAGGACAGCCAGAACTGTTATACAAAGAAGCCCTGTCTCAAAAAATAAAACAAAAAGATTAATTTTACATCCTGTGACTGTCACCTGAAGTTGGAAATGAGAAAGAGCGACCAAGAAAAGATGATTTTAATGCTTGACCTCTATGAACTGATCAGCCAAACCTCAAACCTGCCCCTCTACCTGGTTGCTTTTCGTGGAGGGGAGTCAACCCCTTTGTTAACCCCTACTCTCCCCTGTGGGGTGCCAGCTTCAGGGCTCCCTGGAACCAAAGCTCAGCTGGCCACACTCTGTACTCCTGGGGACGATGGACACGTGAGGCTAGGTTTGCAGAGTACGCTGCTCTGGCTGTTTCTTCCCAGCCATGTCCCCTCTTGATTGTACCAGCTCATGTGACAAGTGACAGCGTGCCCTGTCACTATGTCTTGCAGATCCTACCAGCAGAGAGCAAGACTCCTCCCATCCCATCTGGCTTCCATCCAAGATCCTCAACCTATCTGGTCATGTCACCTCCCCACGGCCCATCCACAGCAGCCCCTGCCTCATTAAATAACCTTGCTGCTTTATCCACAAGAACCTCACACTCCTCCTCTACTTTCCAACGCAGTAGGCCACAGTCTCCTTTCTTACGGGTCCCTTGACCAACTGAAACATGACCTCAACCCCTGAGGCCCACTATGCTTGAGTGCCAGGTGACAATCACCCAGTCTGTCCAGAGCTCTTCAATTTCATCCTTACCACTGTAGGGGACAGCTAGCCATGATGCTAAGGAGTATCTCTGCCACCCCACAGACTGTCACGTCCAGCTTGCTGCCATCCACAACAGGGGACCAAATGAGGGGCCACTGTCCCCTCAAAGGATAAATGCCTTTATGATAGTCACCATTTTTTTCCAGCCTGAGAGTCAGACCCATGGCTGGCAGGCTGAGAGGTGGGATGAGTCCCTTCCAGAGGCAGGGACATCTACAGGGGGTGGGCCTGAGGCTCCCTGTACATCTGGAAGGAAGCTGGCTCCCTCTGTTTGCTTTGAATTGCAGGTTTGGATTTCAACCCCAACAACATAATACTATGTTTCCTGCCGCAGTCACAGAGGGGCTGGCAGCACGCAAGGGATGCTGGGTTGTTGGCTTGCTTTAAGTGGGAAAAAAAGACCAATATAACCTCCCCACCCCGAAAACAGTGTCAGCAGTGAGTGGAGCTGCTGCTCCCTGCTTCCAGGGACTTGGGCTCTGATGCCCCGAGCGCATCACCAAATTGCCTCTTTGTAGCACCAGACCCGCCAGGAGCTGTGACTGTCCCCATGCCCTTGGTCTCTTGCATTTTTCTGGAGCAGCCATGCTTTTGGACACCAGCTTGCTACCTAAGAAGCCTGCCCTTGTTCATAGGGCTGGAGAGATGGCTCAGTGGCTAAGAATGCTCACTGCTTGCCAGGCGGTGGTGGCACACGCCTTTAATCCCAGCACTCAGGAGGCAGAGACGGTGTATCTCTGTGAGTTTGAGGCCAGCCTGGTCTACAAAGCAAGTTCCAGGACAAGCTACAAAGCTACAAAGAAACCCTGTCTTTAAAAAAAAAAAAAAAAAAGAAAAGAAAAGAATGCTTACTGCTCTTGCAGAGAACCTGAGTTCAGTTCCCACACCAGGTGGCTCACACACAGCCACCTGGAATTCCAGTTCCAGGGACTGGACACCCTCCAGCCTCTGAGGGCTCCTGCACACAAATAGTGCACATAAACTTGTGAAGGCACATGCATATATAAATCAGATGATAAATCTTTTTGAAAAATTGCCTTTCACAAGATTGGGATAGATGGCCCCACAGAGCTCAGCCAGGAAGTCCCTTCCCTCTCCCCATGGCAGAATCTGGAGAGAGGCGGTGACAGTGAGAGCCAGGCACATGTGTGGAGTGTGTGTGTGCGTGTGTGCGTGCGTGCGCTCTCCCATGCACACACGTGGAAGCCGGAGGTCCATATTGGTGCCATCAGTTACTCTTCACCTAATTCTCTCATGGAACCTGGGTGCTCACCAACTGGCCAGTGAGCCCCAAGGAGCCGCCTGTCCCTGCCTCCCAGTACATTACTGCCACACCCAACTTCTCCCCTGGGTGCTGGGGAACCAGACTCAGGTCTTTATGCTTACACAAGCACCTTACCCATTTAGCCATCACCCCAGCCCCACGTGTTTTTGTTAATTCTCCATAAACGGGTCTGAGGCCCCATGGTGATGAGGTTTTGAGTCAGGAAACCCACATGGCTTTGTCCAGAAGCAGGCACTGCGGAAGGAAGGCTTCTCTCGGTGGACATGGAGACTACACACAGGGAGATTCCCAATGGGAGAATAGCAGTATAAAGTGACCATGACTGCCTAAAGCTCTGAGGTGGTAGGTGGAGTCGCAAGGCTCTGCAGCTGCCACTGTCTGCTTCCCGCGTACTTTCACCACCCGAAAGGAAATCCCATCTCTCTCAAGCAGCCGCCCCCTCCATTCTTTCCTCCCTCCCACGGCCTCCATCTGTTTACCCGGCTGTGAGTATTCTGGGCGGTTCAGCTACCTGGCACCACACACAACTGGGACCTTCCCTGTCTGGCCTGCCACTCAAGTCATATTTTCTTTCTAAGTGGCAGCATGTGTCCACGTGTTTTGCCCTCCGGAGGGACAGGCCCCGGGACGACCTTTAACCTTCTCTCTCTCTATCATTTCTCCTCCCCCACTGTCAGTCCAGGTCAGACCACAGAGCATGGCATGTGGTCGGTGTTCAGAAACACCCGTGGGGTGCATGAGTGACATTGGCAGAGGGGGCTCCCACCTTGGGGACATGGTGGCTTCACCCTCTTACCTGAAACCTGTGCAAGCTGAAGAGTTTCCTCAGCCTGTTCCTAAAGTCCAGGGTCGGCCTGGGTGTGGGGCTGGGGCCAGCCTCGGCATCTGCCCCCACGGCACCGCCTTCGCCTTGGGCCGATGTGGGGGCCGGCTCCTCCTCGTCCTCTTCGTTCTCCCACTTCTTGTAGTTGACGTTCCACGTGTGGTAGTCGTCCCCAACCACTGTGAAGTGCTTCAGGAACCTGCTCATCCTCTTGGTGGGAGCCACCGTGGCTCTGCGAGTGATGGCCTGGAGGGGCGGGGCAGAACATGCACTTGAGGTTCCCATGGCTGTGATGGGGATCAGGACCCAAACCAGGTCCCAAGGTGCACAGAGCACCCTAGCCAAGGTAAAAAAAGGGGGGTTTTGGGGGGCACTTATTTTTGGAACCTAATATCGCTGTATATGAGGCAACAGGAAACCTCAATCCCACCAGACATGTCCTTGTGGTCTGGCCAGCAGTCACCAACGGTACTACAGCCCAGTCCCAACAGGAGGCCCATGTGTAAATACCAGAAGAGCCGTGCACTCTCAGAGAAACTGAGAGCTGGTGATGGCAGTGGAGGAAGCGTGCAAAAGTAAAAGTCCAGTGTTAACAGAAGACGCAGAGACGCCAACCCTACACTCCGCAGGCCAGTCCTGGCCAGGCAGATGGAAAGGGGAGTTCCTTCCAGGATTATCCAGCACGGCACACACTTGTAATCCCAGCATTTGGGAGGTGGAGGCAAGGATAAGGAGGATAAGGAATCGAGGCCAGCCTGGGCTACATAATAAGCCCCTACCTCAAAAACCAAGAGTGAGGGCTAGCCCACTGTGTATGCAGCCTGTTTGTTTAATCTACCTCTAAGAGACCAATGTAGCAAGCCAGATGGTGGTGGCCCATGCCTTTTCCCAGCATTCAGGAGGCAGAGGCCGGTGGATCTCTGAGTTTGAGGCCAGCCTGGTCTATAGAACTAGTTCCAGGACAGCCAAAACCCAGGCTCCAAAAACAAAACAAGAAAAAGAGAGAGAACAATGCAGCCTCCGACCTTATTTGCTCTGGACTTCTTGTGTAACCAACTTTTACACCTAAGCTAACACACAGCTGTAATCCTAAATCGTGCACTCTTCCAGGCCCCTGTCCCAGATCACACGTGGGTGTCATTTGCTGAAAGAGGCAAGAACAGAGGTCTAAAGTGCCTTTCTAACATGAATATCCATTTATGAACGTTGGTTGATAAATCGTTGTATCGCAATTGTCTGAGTCAGTTGGGATCAGCTGAAGGCGGTGACGTGATCCTTGTGTGATATTGGGTAAGATCCCTGTAAGTGCCCTGTCCCTCCCCCACGTGGTGCTGCCTGTGCTGCTCAATAAGGACAGAGAAAAGCCCTTTGTGGGGGATAGACACACGAGCTCACACAGCAGACACAGGCAAGCACACAAAAGGCACAGTTACACACAGTCACACTCGGGAACAGAAAGATTCCCAAGGCTTTGTTCTTCAGCAGGCACAGGTTCCCACAAAGGACAGAAGAAGCAGGGAGCATGTAGGAGAATTCAAATCTGGACTCCCTCTTGGCTGAAAGACTTGAAGGGAAGCCAGGGGCAGTGGTGGCGCACGCCTTTAATCCTAGCACTTGGGAAGCAGAGGCAGGTGGATCTCTGTGAGTTCGAGGCCAGCCTGGTCCACAAAAAGCCAGGACAGCTGGGATTATTACACAGAGAAACCCTGTCTCAGGAAAAAGAAATACTTGATGGGGAAGTGCTTTTATTCCTTAATGTGACGCGGATGTGTTATTGGCGACTCAGTTAACCACTAAAGCATACAGTCCACACAGGCAGCTCTGAAGGTGCTGCCTTTAGACTCCATTGCGAACCCGCTCCCTGAATCTCTAATCCCATCATTCTCATCCATCTCAGCCTGAAGTACTGCCGCAGCCTCCTGCCACTGCCCCCTTCTCTATGGAACTACAAAGACCTTGGTAACATATAGTGAGACCACGGTGTGCCATTGCCTAGAGTTCTCCGGGGGTTCTCCAGCCCCCACGTGAGGCCCTCCCGCTGCTGCCCTTCCTGCGCTCCTCTCTGAGAGGCTGACCCCACTCCCTCCCCACCCTGGTTTTGTGTCTTTATTGCATCATTGCAGTTACACTGAGGCAGGAAAGAAAGACCAGGAAATTAACGGGATAAGAAGGGACAGAAGCTCTTGCCCGCTGGGATTCAGGCTGCCTTTCCTGCTGACTGAACCCTGAGCAATTTCAATGCAACCAACAAAGCAAAGGCTGTCTTTCTGGCCTCCACATGTGCACCGTGGCACGAGTGCACGCGCGTTCACACGGATGCACAGGCACACTCACGCACACACAAAGATTTACATACAGAACTATCAATTGGCTGAAAGTAAAAAGAACAAACAGAACCTCAGGAATGCTAACCAGTGTCCAAACATAGGGGCACCTGCAGTATCAAAAGATGAGAGGGGGATTAAAAGAATAAAGGCTGAGGTTGGCAACATGGCTTGGGGAGTAAAGGTGCTTGTTCCCAAGACTGGTGAGCCAGTCCCTGGCATTCACATGCTAGAAGAAGGGAACCGACCCCCTGAATCCTCCACACACATGCTGTGCCACAGGCTCACCCAGGCACATACACATACAAACAGGAAGGTACATTTTAAATGGCTGAAAAAATATTCACGTCTGGTAGAATAGACATGTAGCCTGAGACACAATGAACTCTAAGCAGTCTAAGGAGGACCGTAAACGGAAATGGACAGAGGCCTGTAAGCACAATGGGTAGAGCACCTGCCTAGCATTCTTGGTCTTGGGCACTATCCTCAGCAACACAAGGAATAAAGAACTTGTGCCCTTGGGTCGGACTGGAGAAAGGGAGCCTGTCTTGCCCCCGTCCACACCCTCCCCTGGGTTCTGTGTGGCCTTATGTTTCCAGGCTCCAGATTTGGTCAATAGTCCCCTCCCACAGCCCCAACATCTTCTAGCTAAGTGCCAGGGGAAGCCCCATTGTCGAACCTGGGGGACAACTGAAGTGGAGTGCGGAAGCGGAGGCTCTGCAGGCATCTGAACCCCAGGCTGCCTCGCTGCCCCCCCCCACCTATATTATATGGTACCTCAGGAGCCACAGACTGCAGGTTTCTTCAAAGGCTAGGAGGCCCAAGGAAAGCCTGAAATAGTGCATGGCCTGGCCCTGGGGGCAGCTCCATCTATTGCCCCAGCCACGGAGGCCTGCATCTTAGCACCCCCCACCTCTGCCAGCCTCCTCACCCAGCATTCTAGTCTAACCTTTGTCCTCAGTGGCCCAGGAAGGCTGCATGGCCTCCTACTGATCCCTGACTTTTGCATTCTCTATCCAGGCCTGAGCAGGTCTCACCTTGGCTCTGTTACGGCCCTCCTCACCCTGACAACTGTTCCTTTGTGCTCTCCAGAAAAATCCAAGGGAAACACCCAAGCCTCTTTACGTGGTGGGCACGGCCCCATGAGGCTCAGCTTCTCTGCTTCCAGCAGCCTGCCCCTTCTCCCTTGCCCCTCAGAGCACTGTAACCTGGCTGCCCACACCTCATTCTAACTTTGGTTTATTCGTCCCCAAGCCTGAAGACTCAGCTGGCCACAATGCCACTTCCTCGGAGTGGTCCTTCCTGGATCATGAGCCATAGCCAGACCCCTCTCCCAGTTCCACAGCCTCTCCTTCCCCTTCCATTCTCTGCACTTCCTCAGAACCCTCCTCTCAGTACCGAGGAGGGGCTGTGTATCCTGAGCCCACTGCGACATCTGCCCAAGGCTCCCTCCTCCTGGACAGCCATGAATTCCCCCAGGAAATACCTCACCCCTCAGGCAAAAGCCGCTGAGGCTCAGGCTCTCTGCCAAAACCACATCTCACAGGAGAGGCGAGTTTTCGCTCTGAAACTTTCTGAACAGTCAAGAAGTGACTTGAGTAACTTGGGATGAAAATACTTGTGGTATCCAGCGGAGCAGAAAAGAATTCTGGTTTTAAGTCAAGACTGCCGTGTCAGAAGCAGGAAAGTTCCAGAAAAGGGCTGACCACAGCCCTTGTCCTCACCCTGGCCTCTCACAAACCTAGAAAGATGGGTTCTGTGACACCCACTGAGCACCTGCCCAGGCCAGGCTCCTGTGGCCTCCATGGCAACCCTGTGTCACCAGTGTGGAAAATCATTCCTCCCCCACTTTGTCCCCTGAAGTTGTAGGTTCTGTCACATGGGCCCAGGACTTGCAGACCTTCCAGGGGAGGGATTGGCACCGACACCAGGAATCCCTGCTATCCACATTCTTCTCTGACCTGGTGTCCCTCGCCGTGTGGCCAAAGCCCAGGCTGGAGCTGCAGAGATGCTCAGCAGTATGTGCTGTGTGAGTGTAAGGACCTGAGTTCGAATCCCAGCACCCACATAGAAGCTGGCGCAGCAGCTGGAGAGACAGCTCAGCTACGCTTGCAGAGGAGTGAGGCTCTATTCCCAGCCCCCAGGGCAGGCACCTCAGAACTGCTGGTAGCTCCAGCCTCAGGGGACTTAACACCTTCTTCCAGCACCTGCACTCAAGTGCACACACCCGCACACATACAGAGAATTTTAAGAATAAAAATAAAATATTAAATAAAAAGTTGGGTATGATAGTCTATACAATCCTAAAGGGAGACTTCCAGGCCAGTGAGAGGCTCTTTCTCAAAAGCAAACAAACACATGGCAGATAGCTCCTGAGGAACAGCGGGCAGCTAACCTCTCCTTGCACCTGTGTAGAGTGCACACTCACACACACACGCACACCTTCTCTCTCACCAGGTTCTGATCTGTCAATCATCACCCAGACTGCTGACCCCATTTTTCATGACAGGCTTCCACCTCTTTCCTCTCCTTGCTTGGTCTCTCATGCCTGGCTTCCTTGGCAGTCCGACCCTGACCTTGGCAGGCTGGGGCCTCTCCACTTCCGGTGGTCTCAGCAGTCCTGTGCTCAGTGTTGCTCCTGTTCAAGTACACAGCCCGGTCTCAGCTGCCGCCATCTTGGTAGCATGCTGTGACCCAAACTCAGCTCACTTCCCCACCAAATCTGCTCCCCCGGGGCCACAGCATCACTGCCACCGTGCCCAAGCAGAGAGCTGAAGATCCGGTTAGGTTCCCTGCCGTTGTCCTTGCTCTATGTCACCTAACAGCTCTCAGCTCCTGCGTCCCTGCTGCGGCCATTGCCTCTGGCCTGGACTGCTCCACTCCCACACAGTGCCAGCCAGGCTGGGTGCTACCTTTCCCACT